CGGAGGGGAAAAAATCACATGAAATCGTATCATATTTAACGCTGAGATCGAGGTTTTGCACTCACGAGGGCTCCCCGAGTCGCATCGTGTTGTCGCTCTTGCAAACAATCTCTTCACGTGCGCCATCCAGAAATTGGGCCAGCCAGCCGATGCTGCCCACAAAGAAACAGGCGTTGATGTAGAAGAGAATGACGGCTGGGTAGCGGTTGGAGTTTTTCCAGTCTGCAAGAAATGTGGCCTGAAAAATAAAGAGAAATAATTAACAAAGTGAGAATGTGGCTTAAGTTAAATGTGACCCAATCCCCCCCAAAAATGAATACCGTCATAGTTTGTCTCACCAGGGTAAAGAAAGTGCAGAGGAGGGTGATGGTTCCAAAGTAAGCGATGTAGGCGTGCATGTCATTGTGCTCCTCTTCAGTGAACAGAGGATTGTCACACTGGATACCACAGCCCTCCACGTCCTTGTACCAGCTCGACTGAATGTCCGTCTTCACCAGAGGAGCTTCACACTGGCCCGATGTGTTGAACTTCAGCTTTTGCACCTCATTCTGCAAACAGAGGATATAATGGGTAGTCTTACAGCTGCCTAACAGTTTGAAATCATTGCTGTTTACTGGACCCTGACCTCTGAGCCCAGACTTTTAAAAAAAGTCTCACATGACATTACATGACAATTGAACATACCGAACAGCCCACAGGGAATTTGTCACATTTGAGAAAGCTGGGCCAGCCTCGCTCCCGATCCACGATGCTACATGGACTACGTGTAGTCAGACAGAGGCTCTGGCTGGGCAGTTCAACTCGGCCGTTTTCGCATTTGGGCATGTAGACGGCGCAGAGCAGAGGCTGGATGACCGACCAACAGCGAGGGGCATTCCGCAAACCTAGGACACAAAAACAAAACTGAAACTTCCTGTGGCATTTAACTTAGAGATGATAGATTCACCACAAGAATGACAATGATCCCATGAGTAGTTAGATTTATGAGACCAGTGATGATGACAGTGATGATCGTTATACACTTCCTATCAATTTCCAAGAGCCGGAGGTGGAGATGTACATATTAAGAGAAGTTATGCAAAAAGGGAAAAAGAAATTATTCACTTTGAATATGACTGACTGAATCTGATTATTTTAATTTGCATGTTCTATTTGTACAATAGCAATTAATCGAGTAATCCACAACTCAGTCAGTGGAAAACAGAGAAGGTGGGCCTGTACAATATGAGAAAAATCTACAATGTTCAATGTTTTGTTCAATATTGCAATGACAACATATGATGAATAAACAAATATTGAGGCGTCCATATTACATTTATTCTCCAGATATGTGAAGGGATAAGGTGCTAAGGAAGCAGCATTAAGTTGGTGGTGTTTTCTCATTTTGTAGTAAGATTGTTGCTACTGTTGAGCTCTTTTCATTTTTCATTGAACAGAACATTAAACATAAGATTTTTTTTGTATTTATTGCGTTTCAGACAGTCTTTTACTGTGTGTTTATGGCCAATTCACAAGTTCCTTAAGTTGCACAAATGATGCAGTGCCAGTTTCGCTGGCAGGCAACTGCAAGTGACAAATAACGGCTCAATTCAATTCAATTCAAATTCCAGCAAGTAGTTAACTGCATACTTTTCTTGACTGTTGCTCAGACATAAATAAATGAATATATAAAATAAATAAAACACATATGGACAAAAAAATGACATAAAAATCATTTTGTGTGACTGAAAATGAAAACTACCACATTCCCTCCCATATAAAATGTATATGTTTTAAATGTGTTTTATAAGAGATATATGCTTCATATCAAAATAGCCCCTTTCACAGTTTTCAAAATAGAATTATTAATGGAACATATTAACAGTAACTGAACACCCTGTGTATACTGTATACAGTATACATAATTGTTATAATTATGTTGCATCAAGTCATAGAGGTCTTACAGGTCTTATGGCTAAAATTGTTTCTGATTATTGTAGATTTGAGGTTTGGCAGTCTGACAAAGTGAGATTTCGTGACATCAATTATAGGTCAGTTTATAGTCTAGATGATAAAAACTTATAAATTAAAAATTTACAAATTAAAAAAGTTTATTTTTCCATCCGTGTAACACTTATGTACGGGCATGGTTACAGACTTCACCTTATAATACTTGCAGCAATTTTTTTTTATTATTGTTTACAAGAATGATTTACTAAATTAGTAAAAATCGAGACAAATGATACTCTTTAAGATCTGTGAGGCTGGCCTGGTACTGACAGGTCAATAGTGAGAGTTTATGAAGGTCAAAGTCTTCTTGCGGAACATCTAAAAACCCTTTTATCAGCCGGTCTTCATTTGTTTCCGCTCTTAACACCTTTGAATGATTGTCCTTTGTTACCTTTAATGGATTTTAACCCCTCTTTTCCTCTCGAGGATCTTTTCCATTACTTAAACCTCCTGAGTACTTGTGAATTGTCACAGCAGGCCATTATCATGCATTTAACATCTTATCACAATAGAACAATACAAAGTAAATACTGATAAATACGGTATATTGATTGAAAAACAGCCAATTTTCAGAGTTTCGGCTTATTAAAAAGCTAAATGAGTTAATTGTTACTACAAAAAAAAAGAAAAAAGCATTTTCTTAATTATTTACATGCGGTATCAAGAAACTGACTTCTCTGACATAAAAGACAAACGTACTAAAGTAGCAAATATGAATTATGATTTTCAAATCATACCGGACCACATGGTCAACTTCTCAAAAGCCTCTTCTTGGGTGCTGGAGTCCTCCGCCAGGATCAGAGAAGTGTGAGTGTATGGTAAAGGCGATCCCAAACATGTGTTATATTTAAGCACCTCGCAAGTTGTGGTTTTCTTGCAGGTATCCTCAAATATCGTCCCGTTTGGAGAGAGCACTGCCCCGCAGCCAGAAAGCCAGGCAGCCCAGAGGCAAAGCATCCCGTAAAATCCAACAATGGGGCTCCAACTCTTGGAAGACATCTTGGAAGGGGGGGGGG